GCCGTCGGGTATAGCAACTTCCTATGATCCTCAAGCATGCGCTCGAACTTAACTTTCTCTTTTTCACTTTCCCATTCTTGTTGTGCATCACGAATGGCATCGCCAAGAGCATCACCGAGATCATCTTCTACCGCTACCTCTTCTTCATCTCCCCCCATTGTAGTATCATCAAAGGCACCATACTGAGCAATAATGTCATCAATGTCTAAATCTTCTCCTTCACCTTCTACCATCATGACCCGCTTTCTCCATGCTTAGTCCAACATATATAGTTTGATATGAAACCTGACTTAAGCAAATGTGAATGAAGACTCATTGAGCTTGAATATTCCTTTAAATTCTTACATAGGGCACATGTACAGCACATGAAACCATCCCGCTTATTTGCCTCGGCCACACCTAAGAAATAGTGCAAGCCCTCAATAAAGTATTAGGAGCGGCGATCGACATTGTATATCCAATGGCGTGACATAATCTGTATTACACGACAAATTATGAAAACCTTGAATATAATTAAGTATTTTATTACACAACATAGATGACACACACACGGTTGATTAATTAACTAAGCCTGGCTACAACATAAGCAATCCCAACTATCACTAAACAAACTAAAACTACAATGCACTTCAAGACATATAATTATTTTGTGATCGTGACGCAACTAAAAAACAGACAAATCATTCTTCCATTGAATATCAATAAGCTTCTCCTATTGCTCACTTTCTCATCATCAAAGCAAATTAATTCTGCACGTATGTAGCATAATCTTCCTCCCAAGACCAACCATCGCATCCATTGCCCTCCCACCTGAAATTAAAGCCAAAAATATTTAGTCAAAAATATTCAAGAAAAGCAGGTCAATTAGCCATAATAATCAAATGCGTAAAAAACTCACATCGCGATCTGGGCACTTGTAGAAAACACGACCCTTGTTGGGTCCCTGTCTCTTGACTCGGTACTCCATCATAATCTTCTGCTTACACTTGCCGCAGATAATGAGAGGGAGTTCTGGCCTCAGTCGTTTCGCAACCGAACGAGAGGCCGAGGATCCGATACCGCTTGTCATCTACTTTCTATACTTATTTTTGTAAACTACATCAGAATTTCACATTTTCTAAAATAATATATTTAAACAAAACTAAAATTATTTATTTATCTAACTAAACCATGAAATATGTACTATGTATAATAGTAAAATACCAAACTATCAAGTGATTTTACTATTGTAAATCATCATGTGATTTTGAGCTAAAAATGACATAGAAATCACATAGCTCAAAAACATGTTTCAATAAATAACCATCCGTACTAGTTGACATTGCTTACGTGATCATCTCGGCGAGCATTTCTCCACCGGACGGCACCGTACTTGGCCAAGGAAGAGCTCCGATTCTACGAGGAAGGGAACACGGTCTTCCACGACCGTTGCCACTCTCCCTCGTAGAATCAAAGCTCCTCCTTGACGTCCGTTACCGCTCGGCAGAGAAAATGCTCGCCGAGATGATCACAGTCCGCAAGTTCAACTAGTACGGATTTTCTACAATTTTCTAACTATTTTCTAAGTTTTTCATTTCATGGAAAAATTAATTCTAAGATCACGTAAGCCACCGGGGCGAGGATGGCGCGCGCTCAAATGAGGACGAAGCGAGCCGTGATTTTGATGAACTAATTTAACTTTTGTTTATCCAAACATATATGCAAATCATCATGTGATTTTGAGCTAAAAATGACATAGAAATCACATAGCTCAAAAACATGTTTCAATAAATAACCATCCGTACTAGTTGACCTTGCTTACGTGATCATCTCGGCGAGCATTTCTCCATCGGACGGCACCGTACTTGGCCAAGGAAGAGCTTCGATTCTACGAGGAAGGGAACACGGTCTTCCACGACCGTTGCCGCTCGCCCTCGTAGAATCAAAGCTCCTCCTTGATGTCCGTTACCACTCGGCAGAGAAAATGCTCGCCGAGATGATCACGGTCCGCAAGTTCAACTAGTACGGATTTTCTATAATTTTCTAACTATTTTCTAAGTTTTTCATTTCATGGAAAAATTAATTCTAAGATCACGTAAGCCGCTGGGGACGAGGATGGCGCGTGCTCCAGCGAGGACGAGCGAGGCGTGATTTTGATGAACTAATTTAACTTTTGTTTATCCAAACATATATGCAAATCATCATGTGATTTTGAGCTAAAAATGACATAGAAATCACATAGCTCAAAAAACATGTTTCAATAAATAACCATCCGTACTAGTTGACCTTGCTTACGTGATCATCTCGACGAGCATTTCTCCACCGGACGGCACCGTACTTGGCCAAGGAAGAGCTCCGATTCTACGAGGAAGGGAACATGGTCTTCCACGACCGTTGCCGCTCTCCCTCGTAGAATCAAAGCTCCTCCTTGACGTCCGTTACCGCTCGGCAGAGAAAATGCTCACCGAGATGATCACGGTCCGCAAGTTCAACTAGTACGGATTTTCTACAATTTTCTAACTATTTTCTAAGTTTTTCATTTCATGGAAAAATTAATTCTAAGATCACGTAAGCCGTCGGGGACGAGGATGGCGCGTGCTCCAGCGAGGACGAGTGAGGCGTGATTTTGATGAACTAATTTAACTTTTGTTTATCCAAACATATATGCAAATCATCATGTGATTTTGAGCTAAAAATGACATATAAAATCATAATAAAGTCCAACATATAAAGTTACACATGCATCTACATCGCAAAATGAGATAAGCTACTGATAAAACATAAGAGGATTAAGTTTGTTACCTCCAAAATCGAAGAGCAACACTAATGGAGGGGGAGAGAGCAAGAACAACAGCAAGCTGAAGAACAGAGGCAGTGAGTTTGAATGGAATGGCTCGGGCTCGGGGAGGAAGAAATAAGCCGTTGTATAGGCCCGCATAATTAGTCCCGGTTAGGTGGCCAAACCGGGACTAAAGATTAATATTTATTCCCGGGGTATCACCCAAACCGGGACTAAAACCTTTAGTTCCGGTTGGTAATACCAGTCGGGACTAAAGATCCCTGCCACTCGGACGACCGTTGGGCAGGGACCTTTAGTCCCGGTTGGTATTACGAACCGGGACTAAAGGGTTCTTTAGTCCCGGCGGCAAAAAAAATGCCGAGGCTAATGCCAAATTGGGACATCGTTCTAAAGTCTGTTATCTAGTAGTGACACTTATACCCGGGTGAAGAAGAAACGTCTTGGATTGCAAAGCTGCGACCCCAAGTGTCCTTGTTTATCGGGTATGCAGTACCCATCGGGTATCTGTTATCCGACCGATGTCCGACGATTACGGGATGGGCAAAAATCTATACCCGAGACAGTTAACGGGGACGGGGATATGATGAATTCTCCGTAGCGGGGAAGAGAACGTTCCTGCGATACCCGACGGGTACATCCCGTTGCCATGTCGAGAATGGACTTCCGAAACAACCGGTTTATACCACGGTAAAGTTTCAACCATGGCACAACTCTCTCTGAACATAATTGAGAGTAGAGTGGACAGACGCACCAAATGTCGCAGTAAAATACATTGTATAGTTGCAGACAAAAATAATGTCGTGTGGGCAATCCTCGACTCGAACCTGCAAATTAAGTCGCCCTCCTGGTGTCTTCTCTCGATCCCCTTTTGCAATTATGTAAGTATTATATTCTGCTGTCGTTTCATATGTCCTGATGAGAGCACCAAGATCTTGACAAGCCCTCGGGCACTGGATATCGATTGTGCAGGGCTTCAGAATTTGGCAGACAAATCTAAGACGCAAGCTGACAAAACTGGCAAAGCGTGCTAATCTTGATCATCTCGAAGTTGATGTCTTAAACCTGCTGTCCACATACCGAGAGTATAGCTCCTCTCAAGAGTCAACTCGCAGCCAATAATCGTGCGGCATTAGCTAGTGTAGATCAACTGCATTATTGCCGTGCCCATGAATCCATGGGTGCGCATGAGTTGACGATGGGCGATGATGGACTACTGGCCTACTGCTGTCCTGCCCCAGTAGACCTCTGGTTTCGCAGTAGATAACAAGTTTCCACTTAGTACTCATCGGTCCTAAAATAAGCGTTGTTCTTGTTTCTCGAGAAGTCAAACATTTTTAACTTTGATTAAATGCATATAATAAAGTATTAATATTTATAATATATAGTTAGTATCATTAGATGAATTATAAAATCTATTTTCATAATAAATTTATTTAGAGATATAAATTTATCAATATTTTCTACAAATCTAACCAAACTTGAAAAAATTTGATTAACACAAATATTATTGACACTTATTTTGAGACGAAGGGAGTACCTCGTTTCAGCCATATTCCAATCAAGGACATTAAGGACGACGTACCTTCTGTTGACAAATACATATATACGGTACATATATGGAAGTTATCACTTGATATAGCTAGCTCGTGCAATATGAGGACAATGCAAGGACTAGGTCCAACTGTCCAAGTGAAGAGAACCTAATCCTCACATTTTAAATGACTGCTATAGCTCGAGCAGGACGACCAAAGTATCACATGCATCATGCATATATATACCTTGCAGTGCAGCACTCTTCAGGCCCATTCATCTCCGATCCAACTCCTTCTCTTATAATCCGTACTTTTCAGCTTGTTTTTTAGCCGGAACAGTGTTTTTCTCTCACAACAAATTGCCGGAATAGTATTTTTCTTTCACAATAAATCAGTGAAGCGAACAGAGCCTTGGTGGCTAACCCAATACGGAGTACATTGTTATTAGTTTATTACTCTCTTGATGACACCAACAAACAGAGCTGCACCAGAGAAACTAAACACCTTCTCAACCTCAACGACACAAGAGGATAAAACCTAGGCCTTGCTTGGAGAGCATGGAGCCCTGAAGAACCTGCAGATTTCTCCTCTCCCTGCTGCAAGCCAGCACTTTAGCAACCTTCACCTAGACCAGTGCTGCTACTTGCTCATAGTTAAAGCTTCTTGTACGGATGAAAGAGATCAGAGCCATGAGGGCCCTGCTGGACCGGTGCCTGTCGCCGTCCAAGAAGGCCCGCGGCCGCGAGCCGCCGGAGGGCTGCCTGGCGGTGTACGTGGGCGCGGCGAGGGAGCGGTTCGTGGTCCGGACCGAGTGCGTCAACCACCGCCTGTTCAGGGCGCTGCTGGAGGAGGCCGAGGAGGCGCGCGGGCCCTACTGCTACGCGGCGGACGGGCCGCTCGAGCTGCCCTGCGACGCCGGCGCGTTCGCGCGCACCGTGGAGGCCATCGAGCAGGAGATGGCCGAGGAGAGGACGACGGTCGGGTGCGGTGGCGGGGGTATCGTGAGGGCAGGGCACTCGGCGGCGGCGCACCGGACGGCGGCGGCGTGGTGATAGCCGGCGGCAGGCAGGTGACTCGTGACCGTGGGTTTGACTTGTGTGTGTTCTCGCCTCTTCATAGAGTACTGACGATATGTCAATCAATAATATTATAGACCTTATTACGTATGCATGAATCATGGTTAGCTGGTGGCTGGCATCCAGATCTGTATATAGACCTTGTTTAATTCTAAGTTTTTTCACTCTCTCTTCATCACATTAAATCTTTGGACACATGCATGGAGTAGTAAATGTAGATAAAAAAATAACTAATTATACAGTTTGATTGTAAATTACGAGACGAATATTTTAAACCTAGTTAGGCCACGATTGGACAATAATTGTTAAATACAAACAAAAGTGCTACAATGCCAAATATTAATTTCTACCACTCATCTAAACAAGGCCATATATAGCTAAGTTTGGTACCATGGCCCTATAACTGCTTCATTTTTGTACTTGTGAATCTTGGACTACTATATATATATATATAGAAAGAATTTTAGAAGACAATCTTATGGAATTGCCTTCTAGGTAATTTAAACGCCCACATCCGTTAATTATTTTTAGGGACACGCATTTTGTGAAGCCAGCTTTGTAAATAGTTGACGAGCTCCGAGCAAACGCCGGCCTCTATTAATCATTTTAGAGGCGGGTATTCTAATATACACTAGTGCAGGACTAATATCAGTCCCGGTTGGAAAACCCCTTTAGTCCTGGTTTTCCAACAGAGATTATGAATCCGGGACTAAAGGCCCTCCTTTAGTCCCGGTTGCTATTACCAACTGGGACTAAATGTGCTCGCAGACCTTGCCCAGGGGCTGCCATGTTTAGTCCTGGTTGGTGTTTACAACTGGTACTAAAGGATCTTTTTTTCCATTTCTTTCCTTTTTTTTATGGTTTCTTTTCAATTCAATTCTTCTTGGTTTCAATTAGCTTTTCGTATACGAATTCTATGCTGCTAATATACATCGACATATACGTATAAGGCTCCGTTCGAGCATTATTCATAAATAACACACTAAGATGTATGAAACTATATATATATAAATAGTTCAAGAGGTTGTACATGCATGAAATATGTACATAATAAAGTCATCAAAAGCTTGTACTCATGTCCTTGGGATTTCATTCAACCCTACTCAGTCGTCGTATGGCTACTAGGTAATATTTCTTTTCTGTCATAGTAGTACATGCCTTTGAGATATATGATCTCATCCATAAGAAATCCGGACAATACCTCTTGAATTGCTTTGATCTAGTCAGCCCACAGGACCTTTTTCTTCCTCCATTCATGCTTCAATTCGAATGAAAGGAAAAGTATGAATATATATATGATTATATATATCAACACAATGGTAATAAATAAATTGTGTATATTTTTTACGTACTTCGAGGATCTCTTCACTTGTTCTCATTGAGTACTGTAAGAGGAACTCGCAAATGTAGTATCCACATAAGTTGTTCCCCGATCCCTGCTGCAGACACCACTTTATGAGAAAAAGATTCATCATGAACCAATGGAGCATATGGTAATAATGAATTAAACTAAATAAAGATGCGGTGACCTAGCTAATACTTACCGGGTATTGGACTATATCCAGAGGTACTTTCCAATTACCATAATGGTGTTTCTGGGCGAACGTAGCCCAAACACTGCCCAACAAAATAAATAAATGGAGTTATATCAATAAAATGGCATAAGAGAGTATGCAGTGTACGAGACCGAAATTACCACTGGAGAATATCTATCATTTCTTGGTAATCTTCTCGGGGTTTTGTCATTGAGTCAAAGATTTTTACAAGACTCCTGGACGTATCGATGACCAGCAGTATCCAGTGAAAGCTACATATTTATACGCAGGCATAACTCATTAACTAAAGTCGACATGGAGTAAGCAAAATAAAATATGCACAAGACATTAACACTCACTTGAAGTTGTAAGGGAAGAGTATCAGTGTCTTGTCATATTTTCTTATCTAAGAACCTAAATAGATTATTCTCTATTTGAGGTCGCCATCTATCATATGGAGTAACCGTGTCCCTGAATGTGCGATTCGGATCTATGAAACCAACATCAGTCATCCATTTTTCTTTAGTTTTAGCATCTCATATCTGCATATATATATAGTATAAAAGAATATATATAGTGTGAGGATAACTATATATAGACAACGAACTAACATGCAAGTTACTTCAATTGTAGAAAGAATCACTTACAGACACCAGCAGCTGAGGAGAGGTTTGTCGAGAGCGTCCTGGTTTAATAGTTGGTGTAATTCATTGAACTCAATATGTACAATGTCGTAGCCATTGAAGTAATGCTCTGGTCTAACTCTGGCAAGAAGCCATGCCTCTTCCTTCGCACACGCATTTAAGTACCACTTGTTTGACAAGAACATTTGCGTACCCAGTGATGACCAGGACTTAGGGTTGAGAAGACTCCTGCCATACACATAGGTCTGGTAAATATCAAAGTTGGCTGTTGGTATCGATCCCCCTCCTAATGAGTTGTTGAGGTATGAGACCTGTTGTGTCCATGAAGTCTTGGAGTGCCTCCCTATCGATTGGACCACCTTGTATGTAATCATCCTCAACAACTAGCAGGTCGATAGATTGCTTATATTGCTATCCGAGCTGTGCAACATCTTTCCCTGCTCTCTTCGCTTTCAGTGATGCCTTATATGACTTGTCGAGAGAGCGTTCATAGTCCGATAATGGCGTGGGTTTACATGCCTCACGCTGCTTTTTCTCCACTTCATTGACTTTTTCCTTAGTTCTCGGAGCTATGTAGTGCGACTTTGGTGGGTTTTTCATAAGTTCCTTCCTCTTTGCTCTTGATTTTGCTGAACTTTACCGCCAGTTATCCAAATCTTTTTGTGCCGCCACTTTTGATTCCTCTTCAGACTTCTTGTAAGGCAGCTTCTCTGGGGACTTTGTTTTACTATGGCTGGCTTTCTTCTTCAATGGGGACTCACCAGGGGTGGAGGCCTCTTATGGCGCCTCTGTGGTATGGGAGGTGGAGGAGGGGGAGACCGCCTTGGAGGAGATGGAGATGGAGATGGAGATGCAGCCGTGCCATGTAACGCGTCATCATCGTCCAGAGCATCATCATCATCGTCCAGGGCACTCTGATGATCATCATGGGATGGAAGAACTAGACTCAGGTTGGAAGACCTGTGAGTACAAAAATGATCGGGAGTAAATGGTTATACGCGAGAAGCCAATAATTGAGAATGATTATTGAAAAACTGTTTCGTTCACTTTCATCCGCACCTATCATGAGGTGGTTGAGGAGGAGGCGATGGTACCCTAGCCGCTGCACTGGGAATAATGATGTAGCGCTTGCGCCATAAAATGAATGAATGCTCCGCTTGTCCTAGGGTCTTCTCCCCATCACCTCTAGGAAAGTCAAGAGCCACCTCCCTATATTCTTTGATAACTCTATCCATCGAGACGCTATAATATCCAGGTAGAATTGGATTCCCATGGCTTCTTGGTGTCTTGTCAGGGACCACAGGAGAAACAATATCGTGCGTCACCACGACTGTGCTATTCCTCATGGGAATCTGCAGCTCACATGGCGTCAAAGGCATAGTGATGTCATCCATAGGGAAGTGCTGCAATGCGTCATCTTGATTTGGGAGCTCAGTGGAAGCGCAACTACTTCTTAGCTGAGGGGGGGCTAACGTTGACTCCATACTCTGATGTTGACTACCTTTGGCTACTCAACTATAGTACCACTTGCCGTCTGATTTCCTCTTACATTCTCGTGTCCATGTTTAGTTCTCGCTTCTACGATCGAAGCACTACCTCCTTTAACCTACGGATCCGCTCTGCCTCCTCGTCCTTCCTTCACTGGTGGCTTTTGTAGGTAGCGGCATCCTCAGGGAAGCCATGCCACCATGAAATCAACCCTTTGCCTTGCGTTCGCCCAGGGTGTTCAGGAGTCTAGAGGGCGTACGTCAGCTCATCCTTCTCTTGGTTGGGCACAAAGGCACCACTGGCAGAAGCATGTACAATATCGAAAAGCCTTTGTGCTGCTGTTCTGATTTGCCCACCAACAACCGGCTCCCCGATCTTTGGGTCCAGTGCTCCCCCATGCGTGAAAAACCAATTCTTGGAGCGTTCAGGCCAATCGATTGAAAATGGATGGATCCCTTTGGCAAGCAGGTCTATTTTCATTCTTTGCCACCTGGGAATGACACTCCTGTAGCCACCTGATCCCGTTTTATGATGGTATACCTTTTGTCGCGTATTCTGTTGGTTCCTTCTCACCCGTGCCTCACCCTCTTCCGAGGTCTTGTACCTCATAAATTCAGGCCAGTTGTCCCTCAATTTTTTGTATGGGCTGTTATCACTGAAATCTAGAGTCAGATTCTTCTTCACAAATTCATTTTACAACTTCTTCTAGGTCTAGAATTGTGTGGCCATCTTCTTGAGAGTCCAACTTTTAACTAGTTTTTTTAAATCTTCACCTCTTGGTAGCTGGAAATGTGCAGTGACTAAAGCCCAAAGAAGGTCCTTATCTCGCTCAGAGACAAAACTGATGTTATGATCATCCTTCTTCTGTTTCCATTCATGGGCACTGATCAAGATTTTGTCCCTAACAAGAACCCCACAGTGGTTTATGAATTTCTTTGCATTCTTTGCTGGCCGGAGCGGTTCGCCGGTATTTGGATCGACTTCTGTGATTATGTACCAGCCCTCCAACGGTTTTGTTGGGCCTCGTACACTTTTACTACTTTTCATCGACGTCGTCGATCTAGAGGGCTACGTACATAGAAACACAAAGATTCAGTAATACATATATATATATCTGAATTAATGGAATTATGTTTAATTTCATATATATAACAGATACAAGATTATTAACAAATATACCTCGTCAGCATTTTCTTGCATAGGATTTTCTTGCACAAGAAGTTCTTGCCCATCTTCAAAATTTAGTAAGTATTGACCACCGTCATCGAACTCCGTCGGGTCGGCCTCGACCTAGTTGGGGCCATATTGA